CCCAGCATTGCAAGACTTCAGTGCTAACCACTGGGATTTGTCATTACCCTTCAATTCAATGCTTGCTCCATCTGCTTGTGTACTCCACCCCCTTATCTTCAATGAGCTGCAGAACAATGTGGTTTTCATTTTTACATGACAGATCTCTTCTTTCACCCAAAGAAAGGAGACCAGCAGGGGATGTTATAAGTTTCGGAGCAAATCTGATGAATTTACAACAACCAACAGGAAATCCTGAAGGTCATAGAGAACCTCAGGACCTAGAGAATATCAGTCCAATAATAATGGTTCCACTAAATGTCCACCAAAAGTTGACATGGTTTTTAAACACGTCTAATACTTAGTTCCGAATAGTATGATCTCATTTATCATATATTACAGATGTTCGAAGGTCAGTTGACATGTCATATTGCATTACATCATTATACATATTAAATCGATGTTTACTGTATAACTAAATCTAGCAGATAAAGTACATCTTAGATTAGATACACTGCAGTAGAATGCATGATTAAAGTGCATTGGTTTTTCTAGGGGATGATTTAATGGAGGAAAGCTTACCTTAAAGCTGAATTCCGGCCTTCCCTTCAGTCTTGTACAGTTGTACCGGCCCCTCTCCTGGACTGAAATTGCTTACTTTGATTTCACTGCACACTGTGAGCTTCTCGCACTCACACACAATACAAGGGTTAACTGCTCATGTATGCCTAGGGGACAGGAAAAAGCTGCTTTACTTCCACGATCCCCGCTCCCGCCGGCTTGCTCTGGACTAATAGACCCCTTCCGCAGCCTCGTATCCCCTTCGCTCTGGTGGTCTAAGGTGTTGATTTCAGGGGCATATCTACTGGAGGGCAAACAAGGCATTTGCCTTGGGTGGCACTTCCCAGGGGGGAGGCAAAACGTCGCCACCAAATCAGTGCGGCGCGCCTTGGCTGTCTAATCAGGCAAATTTACCTGAGAGAGCTGCCAGGTGGAGGAGGAAGAGGCGGACTAGGGTCCGAGGCGGGACCGGAGGAAGGGGTGGGCTGGGGCCAAGTGAGATGCAGCCCGGCCGGTAGAGCTGCAGGCGGCTCAGGGCTGCCAATACCCCACCATCTGATGGCGGGATGACCCAAAGGCAGGCTGGGGGGCTTCAGGTAAGAGGAGCAGCACATGTGTGCAAGGAAAGGGACCCTGCACAGCCCACCACAGATCCTGCAAAGCCCACCTGAGACTCCCAGGTGGGCTGTGCAGGGTCTGTGATGGGCTCTTCAGGGTTTCAGGTGGACTGTGCAGGGTCTATGGTGGGCTGTGCGGGGTCTTTCGCGGGCTCTGTGGGGTTTTAGGTGGGCTATGCAGGGTCTTTGGCGGGGTGTGCAGGATCTATGGTGGGTTCTACAAGGTCTCAGGTGGGCTATGCAGGGTCTATGGTGGGCTATGCGGGGTCTATGGTGGGCTCTGCAAAGTCTCAGGTAGGCTATATGGGGTCTATGGTGGGCTGTGTGGGGTCAGGGGTGGGCTCTGCAGGGTCTGTGGTAGCCTCTGCAGGGTCTCAGGTGGGCTCTGCAGGGTCTCAGGTGGCCTGTGAAGGATCTATGGTGGGCTGCGCAGGGTCTGTGGTGGGCTCTGCAGGATCTATGGTGGGCTCTGTGGGTTCTCAGGTGGGCTCTGCGGGTCTATAGTGGGCTCTGCAGGGTCTCAGGCTGAGACCCTACAGAGCCCACAAGGGATCCTTTACAGCCCAACTGAGACTCTGACTTCCCTGCTACTCTACCACTCAAGCGACTGACAGGCTCCGCAAAATGTCTTAAACAAGAAGGGATGGGGCAAATTTAGATTAAGGAGGTGCCTGAGTGTAGTCTTGCCTGGGGCAGCACAAAACCTAAATACACCACTGGTTAATGTCATGAAGTTCAATGGAGGCTCCATAGTCCTGCATTGTACGTGAGAATGCCCAGGGACAGTCCACAGCTGGAGTGGAGGGGGAGAAGAAGAGAGTGCCATCTGCCAGGTGAGCAGGTATCAGGTATGTAAAAAATGTTCCTGTCCCCTAGGCAAAAGCGAGCAGTTAACCCTTGCAGTGCAGGGGTAGCCCTACTGCAAGTGAAAACTTTACGTTTTCCTGGATTTGGGCTTTAATCCTAACCTTACTACCCCAAAATGGTGTTCTCTGGTGTTTGCTTTCTTCCTGTTGTATTGAAATGAAATAAATATCTATCAGAAAGACTGATACACTTTCACAATTGGCTTGATGGATGTGCAGACATGGAAATACAAGTACATAAATCTTATCACAATAGCACCCCAGGGACATACAGTATATTAAAGGCCAGCTCCAGTGAAAACAGATTTCTTTGCTTTGTAGAGAGCATGGGAGGGTTAGTGCCTCTATCAGGTTTATTTTCTGTCCCTATTGAGGAGATTTCCCTTCACTTCCTGTCAGGACAGGTGGTGACAGGACATTTCTCCAACTGGGTCACAGACAAAAACACATTTTTTTTCCAATATACCAACAAGCAAAGATAACATTTGCTACAAACACAGTCTACACCATGGTATCTCATACATCAAAGAAGATTTGTTGTATGACCTTAAAGTGGGACTAAAGTCCGCAAATACTCACCTCCTCTCAAGTGATGACATGTCTGCTGGTGTCAACATCTTCTCCCCAGCTCCTCCCATGAGCGGGGTCTTCTGCTGTCTTGATTGACTGGTGCAGGATGTGGTAACTTCTGCACAAGGACACAGGAGTTCATTCTTTCTGGAACTAAGAAATGCCTCACTCATGTCCCCTGATCCCTAGGGTTCCTCCAGAGGTTGTTAGTGGTTCCTTGAGCAACGACTAATTTATTTCTCTCAGATAAGTAACCACTGACACAATATTAAGCAAACATAGTGATGAGTGGAGGGAGGTCTGGTCGACTACACCCTTCTCCAACTAGTACAAAAATTCATATAGGATAGGTACAAGCCTTTTCGTATCAATAGAAAATGGGGGCTTTTAAAACCAACATACCAGACCAAACAATGGAAACGACAAATTTGTTACAATTTTAAACTTTTATTATTACATATTCATTTTAAAAAAAACATGAAACATTTTGTATAAAACTAATGGTTACTTGTGCTGGTCCTTACAACCAATGTTGTAAATTATTCACCACCAAAGTAGTATATTATTATTATAAAGCTGTCACATTATTATTATTCAGGATTTATATTGCGCCAACAGTTTGCGCAGCACTTTACAATATAAGGAAGACATTACAATCACAATACAAATCGAGACAAGATGGTAAGGAGGGCCCTGCCCCTGAGGGCTTACAATCTAAAAGGGAGGGGGAAGTGATACATGAGGAGGTAGCTGTGAGGGGATGAATTGTTTGAGACCGGGATGGCTCAGTGGTTAGGTTGAGGTGGGATAGACTTCCCTGAAGAGATGAGTCTTAAGGGATCGCTTAAAGGCAGTCAGAGAGGGAGATAGTCGGACAGGTTGGGGTAAAGAGTTGGATGGGAGAGACTATAGAGAAGTCCTGGAGACGAGTATGGGACTAGGGAGCTAGAAAGCAGGAGGTCTTTGGAAGAGTGGAGGGGACGGTTAGGGTGATACTTTGAAAGAATGTTTGAGATATATGCGGGGGCTGAGTTGTGGATGGATTTGTAAGTCGTTGTTAATATTTTGAATTTTATCCTTTGGGCTATTGGAAGCCAGTGTAGGGATCGGCAGAGGGGGGTTTGCAGACACTGAGCAGTTGGTTAGGTGGATGAGTCTAGCAGCTGCATTCATGATAGACTGAAGGGGGGGATAGCTTGTGTAGAGGTAAGCCAATGAGGAGGGAGTTACAATGAATGATATATATTCTCATTCCATTCAAAAGCATTGCGTTTAAAGGTCCTTGAAACACGTCGAGGACCTTTAAACACAATGCTTTGGAATGGAATGAGAATATATACCATTAATGTGTCAGCTTTATAATAATAATAATATACTACTTTGGTGGTGAATAATTTACACAATTGGTTGTAAGGACCAGCACAAGTAACCATTAGTTTTATACAAAATGTAATAAAAAAAAAAAAAATTGTAACAAATTTGTCGTTTCCATTGTTTGGTCTGGTATGTTGGTTTTAAAAGCCCAGATTTGTTATTGATAGGAAAAGGCTAATTTTTTTTAACCTATCTGTAAGGAGCATTCTTCCCACTGACCACCAATGTAAGGAGCATTCTTCCCATTGACCACCAATGTAAGGAGCATTCTTACTATTGACCACCAACGTAAGGAGTGTTCTTACTACTGATCATCAATGTAAGGAGCATGCGTCCCAATGACCAGCAATGTAAGGACTGTTCTTACTACTGACCACCAACGTAAGGAGCATTCTCCCCACTGACCCCCAATGTAAGGAACATTCCCCCCACTGACCCCCAACGTAAGGAGCATTCTTCCCACTGACCACCAAAGTAAGGAGCATTCATCCCAATGACCAGCAATGTAAGGACTGTTCTTACTACTGACCACCAACGTAAGGAGCATTCTCCCCACTGACCACCAATGTAAGGAGCATTCTTCTTGCTGACCACCAATGTAAGGAGCATTCTTCTTGCTGACCACCAATGTAAGGAGCTTTCTTCCCAATGACCACCACACTAATGTACGGTGAGCTGTACATAACTGTAGACAGTTGTTGTAATGTTTTGCAGGGGTTCCCTGAGATTGGAAAGTTATTTCAAGGGTTCCTCCATGATAAAAAAGGTTGAGAAAAGGCACAAAGGATATTTTAGAAGCCTGCTCAACACATCAAAATAAAACAACAACTATAAAGCTGAGTATTTCAATGACTTGCTTCATTCATATCCGAAGGTGGAGTTAGTCTATTGACCCGATGATGTTTTGAAAACCAACACTGTGACATAGCGCTCATACCTCCATTGGCTGTACACACACAAAGATGTAATACAATAGCGGCCACATTCCAAAGCCCCCAAAGTAACAGATGGCATGCACACACACAGCACTTACTTGTCCTCAGATATGTTCTGTCCAGTGATGAGATTTTTCCCAGAAGGGGCATAGTCCCACTCCTCCTCCACAATGCCAATGTAGTAGGTCCTGGTGAGGGACTCTACCTGTCCCAACAAAGGCAGCAGCAGGATATGTAGAATCACAGCAGACGTGCAGTACTGAGGAGAAGGCATTGTGTGTCTGTCAGCAGCACTCAGTCTGCATGGAATGAAAGCAGCAGGCTGTAGTCTACTGACACAGGGCACTCCCCCTAACAGGCGGCCCTGGACAGAGGAGAAACTGTGCAAGAGGACTGGGGAGAGAGCCAGGCACACCGATCACCATGGTGACCACTGACACCACTTACTGGCACTGGGAACACTGGGCATTCCAGCACAGCAAATAATAACAAGCTGAGAGGGTCAAAGTATTGATTACACTGTGCAATGAGGGGAAGCTATCACACCTGGAGCAGATAGAATCTGGAGTAGTTAATTCCCCCTAATGTGCAGTATTTATGCATTATTATTATTATTATTATTCATAATATTATTATTTATTATTATTATTAATATTATTATTATAAATTCATTTTGTTATTATTATTTGATTTTTTTATATTAATGTTTAAAAATAGTCAAAAGTTTTTTGGTTTTAGTTTTGGATAGAGACCGCTACCGAGTTAGGCCCCATTCACATGCAGCGACTTACCTTTGCAGCGGCCGGGATGGCGCGACTTTTCGGGGCGACGTTCCAGCGACGGTAGCGCGACCTTCTCCGTCGGGCTCCATAGAAAAAAGCAAAATCCGCCGGAAAAAGGGTCCTGTAGAAGCGACCTGCGACGAGCAACACGCGACACGGAGCTAAGACAGCTCCGTTGAATATCATTGGCCGGCGACTTCTCGCGATATCGCGTGGCAAAAATGCGCGATATCGCAGTGGAAATCGCGCGATATATCGCTATGTGTGAATGGGGCCTTAGGGTTTATTCACATAGCCACTTGTGTCTGCTGGTAAGAACAGTACTGATGCGCCGAGCCTTACGTATTGTGCGGTTCTTTTTTTTTTTATTAGCCCTTTATTGCATTCCTTCCAACTTTCTAAGATAGGAAAGAGAGAAACATTGTAACACAATGGGGGAAGGTTATAAAAACAGGAGCAGATAGAATCTGGAGCAGTTAGGCTCCATGCACACCTAGGCGACACCTATTACACACATTTATGCACGTCTTTTTTAAGAGCTTTTTTGCATGCGTTTTATGCACATATACTTAGTCGTACGCTTTTGTGGGCAGTTTTTGGCATATTCGTATGAATAGGCTAAAAACTCACACACAAAAAATCGCAATGCGCGTTTTCAGGTGTTTTCTATTGAGTCTCTGGGACAAAACGCACTGAAATCTGCCCCACAGTAGCTCACTATTTCGAGCAACAGGCGTATTTCTGCTTGCGACAAAACTCACAGGTGTGAACTGGGGCCATAGAAATTAATGGGATTCCTTAGGTGGAGCGTTTTGTGACGCTGAATCAGCTGCAACAATACGCCTAGGTGTGATTGGAGCCTTATCCTTGGCAAACGATCAGCTTCTCTCTTTCACAAAGCTTAACTGAACAAACTGAAGAGAGCAGCTGATTGGTTGCTATAAGAAAACTGTCTGCTCGAGTTTTCATGAATTTCCCCAATGCAGTTGCCAATAGTAACCAATCAGCTTCTATCTTAAGTTTGTCCAGTTAAGCTTTTGTAGCGCCCTCTAAAATGTCGCTATTCAATTTAGAGATACCTGGACTGAAACCAGTCTAGATGTTGATTATACAGAGCTCTGCATTCTATAGGTGTCTCTGAATCTGCTGGATTGATTGCTCCTCCTGTTGCTGAGGAAAAGGGAGCCTTGGCATACAGTGAGGGAGGATCCACCCTCAGGTTATGACTAGGCACCTGGCCCTAGCCAATCCCTGAGTAGGATGACTCAGAGGCATGGTTGAGGGCAGGTAATAAAAGGTCTGGGGACATTGTGGAGAGCTCTCTTCCCCCTAGGGGACTTGCCCTAGGAGGACTGTGTGTGATGCAGAGCAAATGGCCTGGGCCTCAGCACATGGCAGGTGCTGAGGGACCTGGAGGCCTAAGGATACACTGATACTTCACTGGGCCCATACACGTGGCAGGTGTTGGGTGCCTTGTTCTAAGAAGATACTCTCATTTAACTGGAGTGCTCCTTGGCAGTTGCAGATGCTGAGGGCACAGAAGTTCCAGATCCTAAAGAGGAAAATACCTGATGGAAGCTGGGTCAGAGGAGGAGTCCTTTTGTTGAGGGGTACCGCAGAGGAGCTGGTGCGAGCGTCCGTCTGGGTCCCACAAGGGAGAGACCTCACCCATTCCAGGTATCTGTTCACAGTATTACTACTACTATTGGTCCTTGGGGCCAGATCACAGCGATATCAGCATTAGCAGTTGCTAAGGGAGACAGCTGTCCTCCGAAGTATTTCCTATGGCATCCTACAGACCCTAAACCCTCTCTTCCCTATTGATGTTGCAAATAAATACCCTAAAAAAAGACCCTAAGACTCGAGCCGTTCTGTCCGTGAGTGTCGGTGTGCTGTTGCTGATCAAAGGGGACTGGCAGCTGGAACCAACAGGTAGGAGAACCTATTTCAATATTCAGCGGCTCCTTCGGGGGTGAGCGCTACACTTTCATAATGAAAGATGGAAGCTGATTGGTTGCCATGAGCAACTGCTCCAGATTCTGCCTGCTCCAGTGGTGTGAACAAACCTTTATTGTTCTGCTGGAGAGATTTCCATTCACTTTCTGTCTTGGTGATGCAACAGGAAGTGAGAGGAAATCTCTCCGAAGTCAGGGGAATTCTCGTCTTATACAGCTGTCACCAGAACATTCCCTCACCGCTTGTCCTTGTGACAACTATAAAATGTAGGATTTCTGCTCCCGAATTTCGTGCCTAAAAATAACAATTCCTCACCGATTTGATATTTATTTTCCTAAGCTGAATGTTTTATACAAAATGATTATTGATTAAGTAATAAAAAGCATGCAGGATAACTTGTACCGCTTTGTGAGTTCACACTAAGGGGCTGATTTATAACTCTTCAGCCCCTTTCACACGGAAAGTCAGATCGGGTCTTAAGGCGGATCCGATTGGATGCCCACTGCAAGTCTATGGGCAGCCAGGTCTAAATGGATGTGTGTGGATCCTTCCTGATCACCCCATGGAAGGGGCCTTCCTTCCAACGTATAGCTGGGCAGATGCTGTTCACGTGACAATAGATTTAGATTGTAAGCCCTCATGGACAGGGCCCTCCTTACCATCTTGTTTTGAATTGTATTGTGATTGTAATGTCTTCCTTATATTGTAAAGCGATGCACAAACTGTTGGCGCTCTATAAATCCTGTATAATAATAATAATACCACAATTAAATGGCGCTGAGGAGCATAGGAGTTCCTGCACAAGAACATACCGTGTTTCCCCGAAAGTAAGACCTACCCCGAAAGTAAGACCTAGCACTATCTTCAGGGATTTCTGTAATATAAGACCTACCCCGAAAATAAGACCAGGCAACCATATTGAGTGGGGCACGTGAGATTAATTAACGTGCTGGATTAGTGTGATACTAGTTCATTTATTACTTCATTGCTGTGCTGTATGGGTATAGGCCAATGTAGTTGGATCTGTATGTGCGTTATAATTAATCGATTAATCGATTAAAAAGAATTTCGATTAATCGAACACAAAAATTTTAATCAGTAGCAGCCCTAGAAAAAAGTAAACCATTAGAGGATCTCATTCACTCGGGTGAGCACAGCCGTACAGTGTGCATGGCCCATGCAGAAACCTGCACCCAGGAGTGACAGCTCCTGCTTGCAGCTCAATGACAGGACCTTGCTGCCCACTGCTACATGCCGACCCAAAGTTGTACATTGGTACATGTATGGATACACGCCCCTGAATGCATAAATTTGCACCCAGGGATGTGCATCCGCACCCGTAAAGATGTGCAACTTCTATTAGAAGGGTTATTGTATATCATATAGTGAACCAATGTGCTTTCAATGCCCACGCATTGCAGCACACCATACATTCTGATACACTGCATCAGCAGTAATGGTGCAGATTCATTTTTAAGTCAATTGTGGTATGTTGTTGGCCTATTTAAATGAATAGGCTGACTTAGCACAAGGCTCGTTACCGTGTGACATAATGCACGCTATGGGCTCATTCACACACCAGGGCATGCATTAGCGTTGACATAATTTGCACAGGCTGGCATGCGATTTTTAACATGCATTGCAAGGTATTTTTTAAATGTGACCCTTTATTATTTTATTTTTTACTTTTACCCTACACCACAGTGCACGTTGCCACGCAGCATTTCAGAACGCAGTGCATTGAGCAAAAATGGTACATGTCTTATTTTTTTCAGCACAAACCCAATATAGCATGGGTGTGAACGGAAGCCATATTACATAAGCCTTTGTACCATGTCATTGCATTGGGACTATATTGGGCAATGCAGCCCTACATTGATGGTATGCAGCCATAGTACATAAAGCTATTTGCTTGCTCTTCCATTGGGACTGCATTGGGCAATGCAGCCCTACGTTGATGGTATAAAGCCATAGTACATAAGGCTATTTGCCTTGTCCTTGCATTGGTTCTGTATTGAGCAATGCAGCCCTACCTTGATGGTATGAAGCCATAGTACATAAAGCTATTTGCCATGTCATTGCATTGGGATTGTATGAGTCAGTGCAGCTCTATGTTGATGGTGTGAAGGAGCCCTAATACCTGTGAATTAACACACCTTCATCAGACCAGACAAATGTGAACGGGGACTAAAGGAAGTGCAGCAATCCATTATCAGCCAATTTCTCAGAATTGTCTTTAGTAAATTGATATCTGATTGGTGAGTGTGTACTACTTTTAGCACAGTGCTCTTTGCAATGTCTTAACACAGCAAGCTAAATACATGATATGCTGCGTGTGTATTTTTGTGCATGTGTCCCGACCAGTGTCCTATGATTTTCTGCTGACTAATCCTCATAATGAGATGTGACACATCACCAGTCATGAATCACACAATACAAAGGCCTTTCAGCTAAGAGTTTCATAACTCAGCTTTTGCACATTGGAAGCATCTCGGGGGAAATTCCTCTGTGAATGCTTCCTTAAAGACCCATTGGAGCGTGGCACTGGGCTCACAAGGTGTGTCATAAATAAATGGACTACTGACTAATCTAAATATACAGAATGGACTATCAACCA